GAAGACTCCGATGGGCAGGACCTGGCTGCCCACCAGCCAGTCTTTGTCCTCCTTTCGTTGAGGAGAAGACTCCGATGGGCGGGACCCTGGCTGCCCACCAGCCAATCTTTGTCCTCCTTTCGTCGAGTAGAAGACTCCGATGGGCAGGACCCTGGCTGCCCACCAGCCAGTCTTTGTCCTCCTTTCGCCGAGCAGAAGACTCCGATGGGCAGGACCCTGGCTGCCCACCAGCCAGTCTTTGTCCTCTCTTTCGTCGGGCAGAAGATTCTGCCGGGCAGGACCCTGGCTTCCATCCAGCCTTGTCCTCTCTTCGAAAACCTACTACCTCGAAAACTTACACGGGACCATATAGCTCGACCATGGAACGCTGAAAAGCTAAAAAAATACTACAGTTAAACAACACTGCCCGCGAGGGACAACCCACGCGAACAAGAGGGTGGACTGATACGGCCACACCTCACCGACCTTACCTTAGCGGGCACTATACCTCCCCGAACAAAAAGAGAATAGCCCGCTCGACGGCACCCCCTCGATCGAGAATTGCCGCCGCAGTATCATAATCGGCCGAACGCCCAGCTCGCGATGGGATGTTCAAGCCTACAGGATAGATCACAACCGTGACCTAACTCTTGTCCGCCCAGGAAGCTACCCCGGGCATCCGGATAGTTCCCCACACTACCGGGCAACACGCACCGAGCAAAGGTCCCCCACAAAACAATAAACATTCACATCATAATGGAGCTTGGCAAAACGAGCCAACACTTAGCGAAAAAGCATAACAATCATGCACGCACACAAAACTTAGAAAGGAAAACAAGAATTCCATAAAAGGGGCACAAGCCCAGAAGTCGAAACGTTATAATAAACGGGCACGACCCCGGATGTCGAGCAGAAACGATCGAAGGTGTCGAGCAAAATTTTTTGGATGTCAAGCGACTGCAATTTCGCCCTTCCCAGATGATCGATACGATCGACGCCATTCTCGCATCCTGCCTGACATATCAGCGCGCGCAACGCTATTCTCTACTTAAGTCATAGCTCTCCTGACAGCGAACTACGACTTGGGGGGCTCCTGTTCTGGACTGGGCCGAGACTTAGCCCACAATCGAGAAGGCCCAAAATCCCACTGAGGTTGGGCCCAATTGGACCACACTGATGAGCAGGGACCCATGGGCAGAACCTCCTCCCGTCGGGCAGGTGCCCATCCCGTGGGCAGAACCTGTGCCCATCCTATCGGGCAGAACCTGTGTCCATCCCGTGGGCAGAACCTGTGCCCATCCTGTCGGGCGGAACCTGTGCCCATCCTGTCGGGCAGAACCTGTGCCCATCCCGTCAGGGCAGAACCTCCTCCCGTCAGGCAGGTGCCCATCCCGTGGGCAGAACCTGTGTCCATCTTGTCGAGCAGAACCTGTGCCCATCCCGTTAGGGCAGAACCTCCTCCCGTCAGGCAGGTGCCCATCCCGTGGGCAGAACCTGTGCCCATCCTGTCGGGCAGAACCTGTGCCCATCCCGTCAGGGCAGAACCTCCTCCCGTCAGGCAGGTGCCCATCCTGACGGGCAGAACATGTGCCCATCCTGTCGGGCAGAACCTGTGCCCATCCCGTGGGCAGAACCTGTGCCCATCCCGCCGGGCAGCACAACGTGCCTTCCACACGTTCTCCGCGTGCTCCCCTCCACGGGGACACGTCGTCAACCAACTGCCCACCTCCGAAAGAGCAGGTCAAACCCACTTTCCGGAGATCTAGGAGCAGTTGGACTAGGGCGAAGACCACATCCTGATCTTCACTACGCCACGTAAGCCCTAGCAGTCATTAGGGTTGGGCCTGGTCATCCAGCCCATCTCAAATGACCGTTGGCCCAGCGCTGGGGTCTCTCTATAAATACCCTCTTCCTCAAGAGGGTCAGGTAATTCACATCTTGCCCCTTTTTCTGTACTTTGCTATCACTCTGCCCATTTTCTCACTTTGGCATCGGAGCGCCTTGCAGGTACACCCCCTCCTCATCCTCCCCACCGGTGAATAGGTAGCCGTCCAGTAGCACGTGGCCATATCGTGATCCCCTCCTCATCAGGTCAGATCAATTCTTGTCTTTGATCTTGGAGGTGGAACTTTTGATGTCAGTATCTTGACAATTGACAATGGTGTTTTTGAGGTTCTTGCTACAAATGGAGATACCCATCTTGGTGGTTAGTACTTAGAACTGTTACAAGTGGTATATGTATTGTTATAACTTTTATACAATCTTATTATTCTCTTTAGGCTTGCTAACTCTCGTCCTTTTTTTTTTTTTCCAGGTGAGGCTTTGATCAAAGAATAATGGAGTACTTCATTAAATTGATCAAGAAAAAGCATGGAAAGGATATTAGCAAGGATAACAGAGCACTTGGCAAGCTGAGAAGGGAGAGTGAGCGTGCCAAGAGAGCTCTTAGTAGCCAGCATCAGATCCGTGTGGAAATTGAATCACTTTTTGACGGGGTTGATTTTTCTGAGCCACTTACCCGTGCACGATTTGAAGAGTTGAACAATGACTTGTTCCGGAAGACGATGGGGCCTGTGAAGAAGGCAATGGACGATGCTGGATTACAGAAGAATCAAATTGACGAGATTGTTCTTGTTGGTGGAAGCACAAGGATTCCAAAGGTACAACAGCTGTTGAAGGATTACTTTGACGGAAAGGAGCCAAACAAGGGTGTTAACCCTGATGAAGCAGTTGCCTTCGGTGCTGCATTGCAAGGAAGTATTTTGAGTGGGGAGGGTGGAGAAGAAACCAAGGGTACCATAATAGTCTATACATTAGCCTTTTAATTGCATTATCTAGATATATTTTTTTAATAATGCAAGTAGATTTCCAAGCATTACACCTGCTTATTGTTGTGCTATTTTCTGGGTCCAGATATCCTTCTCCTTGATGTTGCACCGCTTACCCTTGGAATTGAAACTGTTGGTGGTGTGATGACAAAGTTGATTCCTAGAAACACTGTTATCCCTACCAAAAAATCCCAGGTTTTTACCACCTACCAGGATCAGCAGACAAAAGTCTCCATTCAGGTACTGTATAGTTATTCCCCTGCATATTTCTAAGACTTATTCTCTTGAAACATATATATACAACATGAAAAACCAAGTGAATGACAAAGACAAGTTGGCAGACAAGATGGATTCGGATGAAAAGGAGAAAATTGAGACCGCGGTGAAGGAAGCATTAGAATGGCTGGATGACAACCAAACTGTGGAGAAAGAAGAATATGAAGAGAAGCTTAAAGAAGTGGAAGCTGTTTGTAATCCAATCATCACCACCGTGTATAAGAGATCGGGTGGTGCCCCAGGTGGTGGTGCATCAGAGGAGGACGAGGACGATGAATCTCACGACAAACTCTAGAGATATTGTGCTCAAATTTGAGCTAGATACATGATGAGAAGGAATAGGTTAGTTAGGCAGAGTCTGTTAATTTTTATGATAGGTTGGAATTGATAATTTCCCTCGCGCTTACTATTTTAGTGGCAAACATACATGCAGTACTTTTTGTACTTTATAATTTATTTTATTTTTTTGCTAGTTTAATATGAGAGAACTTAAATTAATATTTTTAAATATGTTTTTTCTTAAATTAATTAATCAAAACTTTTAAATGAAACAATTTGGACCTAGTCTTTGGATCCAATTTCATACCTCATCTTTTCAATTCAAACTTCAATGCATCAACAACAATCACAACTTGTTAATCACGTTTATTAATAAGAACGCATCAATTACCTTTACATATTGATCCATCCTCTTGAGACTTCTCCATTATCTAAATGGGATACCTGTGTAAAAAGATTCTTTTCCTCACTGCCAAAACATGTCAGTATAGAAAGCAACACTGATGCTGTTTTCAAAATCAGTTTGGAGAGCAACACAAAAGCCCCAGTTAATTCATATTTAAACTCGAGAATGTTGCAATTGTTGTTTACTACAAAACTGAAAAACAAAATTAATTAAATCTGAGCTATCATAAAATACAGCAAATCTACTTTATACATCTCACACTCATAAAAACCAGTGACTTGGATTTGAATCAGTCTATGTTGTCATTAATGGAGTATTAAGAAGAGGACCAAATTTTTTTTACGTGCTAGAAACCAAATACTGAGACATAGAACAAAGATAACTGAAACATAGACTACAATTGGATGTGAGACTTTACTTTAAAAAGTCGAAGAAGAAGAAGAAGAAAACAATAAAGGTGGCCGCTTCAAGTGTAGTTGTAGAAGAGAATGGAGATGCCAAAACTTCTGAAAAATGCATGGATAAATGTTATATAATAAATCATTTAAAATAGTATTAACTGAAAATAGTAGGAAATAGTAGAAATTTGAAATTTTCATAGTAAAATCTTTATCTCTCTTTATGAATGAAAATTGAAAAAATAGCATTTTTAGAACTGCTAAGAAAATTGAAAAAAACAATTTAGTTATAGCATTTTTAGAACTTCTTAAAGACAGGAGATCCGGTTCTATCGAGGCCAGGCTATATGGTCAAGTAATATGATTTCATCCAATTCAGTTGGTAACTCTCTAGTCCTACTAATGGCTGTTGACCCCGTGGCCTTGTTAAGCAGATGGCCGAGCTGGTTTTTAAAACATCTTCACACGTATTTTTTTACTGTTTAAAAAATCAGTTTTAATAATGAAAATCTACAAGTGTTCAATTTTATTATTTAATTTTTTGTTTTGATTCATTTTCAAATATGACGCTTTCCTTTCTTATTGCATCTTCATCTAAATACTTCTCTTTGCAATGAATCAAAACATTGACGGATAGTTTAAAAATGTTTACACTGATATACACATATGATGAAAGGTTGAATGAATTTCATTATTCACATAAAGAGTGTTATAGAATCTATCTAGCAAAAAAATATAGAATCAGTATATCTGTCTGGACCAGATTTGTACTATTGAACATGCAAATTTATAATTTATTTTTTATTTGGTTTTATTAGGAGAGGTTAATTTCAATTAGATTCCAACATTTGGGTTGCCTGAACCTGCTGCAGCAACTCCCATCCCACCAACACCATTTGATAGAGCTGCCACTGTCTCGTGGTTTCCTGATTCTTGAACATCTTTGACATCTAGCTCACGTACGAGTTCGTCGATTTTTTGAAATTGATATGGCCATCTTGCATTATAAAGAAACTGGCGAAGATCAAACCTATTATCCTCTGGAGAATAACTCTGCAAGATGAGTGAGACATTTGTACATTTTCATCAGTCAATAAAAATTATAAGTAGCAGCTGAAATCTGTAGCGGCATCAAGAGCTATCTAACCAAATTCAATCCCGACTTAACGTCATGTAATAACTACATACCTCAGCATGATAGGAAGGTGTCAAGGTGGTCATTTTGTGTCTATTGATAGAATAGAACTTGAAGAAGTGTTTTACTTTTTCAGCCACTTGTGATGGAGTCAATCTTGCACCCCACCTGTAACATAGATTCTGAGAAAGCAAAAAGAAAGGTCATAACTGAACTACGAAATGGACGGCCTTAAATTATGGATATGTACAGCACACATCTCTAATTACTGGATTTTTCCCGTAGGAATGTGAAAGACACATATACCTGGAACATTGAAACTGGACCACAGCGAAAAATCTTCCTTAGTCTTCCATAAACTGATAGTTCTTCATAAGTCATTCCCATATCAACTTCATCAAGCTGTTCAAAAAAGAATGAGGTGTTCGATTATAATTTTAAAATTGATCATAAACAGATACTAATGGATACAAAAAACAAAGTGCAGCAGAACAAGGGCATTGAAAAGTCAAATACTCAACAACCAAAAATGAATAGATCGGTTTTAAAAGGAGAATAAAAGAATATACTAATTCCAAGGTTTCACCCGCATAACAGATCGCCAGAGAGAGTATGTATAGATAGAAGTTAAGAAATTTATAAAATGGTATTAAGAGCTAAGATTTAAGTTCTTGCTTCTGTTAAATTATCTCTTGTCCTCCATCTAGCATTGGAAAAAATTGCTTGCCAAATACAGTGTGCCAACACATGCAAATTAAAGGATTCATTAAGATATTTCAAGACCAGATAGTACAGAAAAGTGTAACAGAACATAACACTACCTGACTGTAGTTCGAACGTATAGGCTCGAGTTCAGCTGTGGGTGGAGCTGCTTCAATATCTGCCAAAGATGTGTAACCAAGATGAATGGCTGCCCAGCGCAGGAATGCTCGAAGGTCCTGCTTACTTATACTACCAATAGGATTTATATCTGCTGAGCTGCAATCATACTGTAAGAAGATGAACTTTGATCACTAGAATGTAATGGATCACAAACATGAAAAATTAAAGAAAATGAATAAGAAACTAAGTTCCCATTTTACAAGAATGCCCTCTTATCTTCGCTTAGTTTCTTGTTTCCAAAGATTCAACCAAAACACAGTGAAAACAAATGACATGTTTTGAACATCAGGGAAAATATGAAATAGGGTAAAAATCAATCTTAAACCATACAGGTCCTACAAAACACTATATAGAGATACCTTCGTCAAATAACCACGTAACCCTTCATCCACATTGGAGCTCCCCAAGACAAGATAAAACCCAGGTTTGTTGTGAACCCAAGGCAAGAGTAACGCTAACATGTAAGCTAGCACCATCCTGATTCGAGCTTGAATGTTTTGCAAGCTTAAATTTTCAACATTAGATCCACCATCTACCTGAATAAACAAAATCATAAAAATAGTATCATTTAAGGAAGGCTACAATATATGGATAGAAATATAACATGCTCCTATAACAACATAGAAACAATCCAAAAACACAGAATTATAACAATATTGATTGAATTTGGATAATTTGTCAAATATCTTCAAAACCCCCCAAAGTCCTCCTTCAATAACCCTCCCTTCCTTCCCAAAACCCTCAAATCTTTCCACTTCATTCTTCCTTTTTCTCACAGTCCTGCCCTCTCCTCCTAAACTCCCAAACAAAGTCTAAGGGTATAATATGGTCTCTTGATGCCTTTTCTATTGTCAATTTAGTGTTTGAGTTCATATATTTTTCCTATAAGACAAATTGACATCTAGACATGACAGAAGCTTATTATATCAAGTCCATACTTGAGTTACTTCCTACATCTCATATTATGGTTGAAATAATCCCCAAGTCCATACTTGAGTTACTTCCTACATCTCATATTATATGTCTAAGGTAATGTGCACTTAAAATGGCAATATATGAGACGGACGAGTACCTTGTAGCGGGGCCGCTTTCCTGTAAGTGTTTGGAACAATGATAAAAGAGCAGATACAACTCCATCAATGCTAACATCAAGGTGCCATGAACCAATTTCTTCACCCAGTACCTTCGCTCGCGATCTTGTCATGTCCGAACTGCAAGGTGAACGCAGTAAGTGCGCTATAACATTTAAGAGGGTTCGAATAATATATTGGAATGTTTTACTCTGCTTGAACTTAAACTGATCCACACAATAAAAGGTTTTCTTGAGATATTACACTATACAATAGAATAACTATCGAATTGTTGGAAGTTCTGTAAAGCACACTTTGAAGTCTCAACTCCATAAAAACACATTTGATTGAAAAAATATTAGCAATATATCAGGTATCAAGGTTTACAGAACCCACAAACATTTGGAGATGCCAACTTTAGAAAATGAATTCAACATGTGTACTGGTCGTATATCTGCAATATCATGTATGAGCTTCAGCAACAAAACCAACTTCGTTGTTCATTGTTCGGTGCCACTTGCATATAAACTTAACTCGGGGCATAGTGAAACAAAATGCAGTGAAGGAGACCTCTCATAGAAACATTAATCAAGTATTGGTAGAACATAGTAGATAGAGAAACTTAAAGAGACATAGCTGTGGAACGTAAAACACTAGATTATGATAACCATCCCTTACCTGTTTTCAGATCCCATAAACACCGTATAGAATATTCGTTTGGCAAACTCTCTGCTGTCTGTAGGATACTGTCCATCTTTATAGTTTCCGATTCGTATAGCGTCAGCTCTAACTTGTTCATCCCCATTTGCAATTTCTGAAGGCAAAAATGAATCACTATTTAATGACATCCAAACTACAAGGTTTGGATTTGTAAGGTAAAATAATGTTTGTTTATTCCACGCCTGCCACGTCCAAAAATTGTAAATGAATGAGAAAAAGAGAGGTCATTAGTCTGTCTCATTTTTACTATCGACAATGGTTATACAACAAAATTTTTCTGCAAGTAAAGCACACTGAACTAATAAGATGACAACTATATGATTATACTCTATATTCAAGCAATTTTGCAAGACATTTGAGAAAGTAAATATCAATATTCAGGTCTGCTTCTCCATTTAATTCAGTTGTCAGTCAATCACATTCGTGACCTCTTAACTACTTCACTTTTTTAGATTTTATAATTATAACATTTATGTAATGAAATTTATGTTAATAAATATTTTTTATATAATATGCAAAATAATGTAATGTAGCAAATACTGTCATGGGTAGATCAGAAATAGAAACTAGTAGGGTAATCCAGAATCTAACCACAGCTGCCATTGCATTTGAAGTTACCTTTTACAACCAGCTGGCACATACATCCAACAATTGCAGCAACAGAAGAACTGTCTGCTCCACCTGAAAGAGGGAGCAAGAAACCAGATGCTCCACTTCTTCGTAAATAGTCCCATAACCAGCAACCGGGTCCAAATGCTATTTCCTCCTCAGGAGAATGATATTTTATCTGTAATCATGTTCAACTTAGCAACTTGGATATATAATCTTCAAAGCAAATTATTTTTGCTATCTAAAAATGCAACTCAAAATGACAAGAAACTAACCTGAAGTGGCACAGAAAGGCGGATTCTAAGGTCAAAAGGAAGACATAGATTGTATGGTACATCTACAGAAGGAACCTTGACTTTACAACTTGCTTGCTCTTGGAAGCTGCTTAAAGATCCTCTAAGGCTCGCGACCTACAGGTAGACAAATGAGTAAAAGAACAAATCCAAAATCAACCGTTTATGGTCAAAATGACCTAGCATCGCATACATTTAAATATGGAAATTAATGCATACCACATCTAGATCTATCTGAGCAACCACAATCTCAACATCATTTAAAGAAAATTGGGAACCCTGAGCAACAACATCACCATTTACCACAACACTGGCACATCCATCTAATACAAATAGAATGAGCGACAAGATAAAATTATAGACAAATGAAAAAAGCTTGTATAATGGACAATTAAGCAAACTAAAAGTAAATTAAAATGTCCTTATATCAACTTCCCGAAGGTTTAACTTATTTCACCCTCCAGACCCACAAGGGGCATTAATGTGAAAAGGCAGGGGAAATATTTTCTTACCATAGTAAAGGCGACCTCCATCACAGCCTTGGTGATTACTGTACATATAAACCCCTCCACGAGTATGAGTGGCACCTATAAAAGCACGAAGACGAACATCAAGCTTCCTAAGTTGGTGGTGACTTCCACTTGCATTCATAAACACTTCAACCCCATTTAATGCAAGCTCGGCATGAGGAGGAGATGGAGTAAAAAGCTCTTCACAAACTTCAGCTGCAATAGCTCTAAGAATGAATGGGAAAATGGTCATATTCAGCACTTAATAAACATCTAAGTATAAGTTGGAAGGCCCCCCAAAAACATAACATAACACATACACACGCAATAGTTCAAACACACTACTTCTAAGTGTATGAAAGAATATGCAGGTATGTCAATCATAAGGTTATTGCATAGACGCGACGATGACGATGCATGTGTCAATTTTAGAATGCACGACCATGAAAAGTATCCGGTGACCAGCAAATAATTCAACTTGGCCGAGTAAATTACATAACCTTCAAATTTCAAACAACAATAATAACGGAAAAAGAGGGCAAGGAAAGTGAAGATGCAACAATAGCTTTTGATAGTATCACTTAAAGTTTCTCAAATCATTACTTCTTTCTACATGTCTGACATGTCAGTATCAAGTACATGCTTCATAGAAAACATTAATATATTAAGCGAAATGAGATTTTGCAACTTACGTGTCTTGAAACTTAACAAAGCCATAACCAAAAGGAACAGATTTTTGGCCCAATGCCTCAGAAACATGAAGAGGAAGCTGAAAATCATCAAGTTGGTCTTTTTGTTTCCAAGCAGTAAACCATCGAAGTTCTCTATAATTACCATCATTTGCAAGCCACATTTTGGGTCTTATCATAATAATCTTCCGATTGAAACACAAAACCTGACAGTTATATCTCTCAGAACCTTTGATAACAGGCATTCCAATACTGCACACTATGCCATCAGTCCAATCACCAACCAATATATCCTTCAAACACTCCCATCTGCAACAACAAAACCAATTTCACAATAAAAAAATAAAAAAAACTCACATGTGAAATAAAAAAGATAGAGAGTGAGAATTGTTACGAGTGGTTAACGGTGTCGAGCTCTAAGAAGTGGTCTTCGCAGCCATAACCGGAAATCTCGAGCTCCGGTCCAAGACGGATGACAGCGCCGGCTTGTTTGGCTTTGGAAATGGAATCTTTGATTTGATTAGTGTTGGAATCGAATTCCATAGCCCATTGATTAAGATTACAAGTAGCTACCTTCAAGAGCCTCATCGTGAGTTACAAAGGATTGTTGTAGTGAAAATTGAGAGGGTCGTTTTTATATTCTTTCTGTGCTATGCTATGCTTTGATTCTACGAACGAAATAACGACGAAAACTAAAATTCAACTCAGTGAGTCCCCGAACCCTTGGACGGGTTGTGTTATCGTTTGGTTCAGTTTTTAAACCTGTTTCAACAAAAACCGGTTTTGCCAAACCAGTTTCGGTTCAGAACCGGTTCTCCATTAAAAACCGTTGTTTCCTTGAATCGGTAAGCAACTCGCCCCATTATCAATCCGGAAATCCGATTCAGTAACACGAATCGGTTTGACTCAAAATTTCCGCGTGAAGTTGAAGGTGGGAATTTCTATGGACCTTGAATTCGTTGTGTTGTGAGTGCGGCGATTGTCGACGGCGGTGGAGACGATGGGTCCGGCAAGGTGAAAAAGGGTGAAACGGAACGGTAGTCCTTGGATTGGGTTAGTACTCCTTCATCTGGACCGCTACTTTGGTATATGGCACGTGCTGTTGAGATTAATCTCCAACTTTTATTTTATTTTATTTTATTTTAAATTACAAATAATATTTATATCAACACAATTTTTTATTATTTTTTAATAACAATACTTCATAAATTTTGGGTATAATTAGTCACTGAATCCCGTAACTTTGATCGAAGTTTCGCTTTGATCCCTGAACTAAAAAAACATTACATAATGATTCTTTAATTTAAGTTTCATTAAACATTTTGGTTCCTTCCGTTAGTTTGTGTGAAGTGGCATGGCAAGTAAGCCAATTTAAAATTCCACATCAGCATGTGTATATGTTACGTTGCCTAGGGTTTTATTTGGTTGCAGTTTCGATCTTCTTCCACCATTCGTCTTCCATATTTCCAACCTCTTCCATCTTCATCTTTAAATCAGGGTTAAATCTCTTTCTTCCATCTTCCTTCTACCATCTTCCATTTTCTTCTCCAATTTGAGAATTAGGGTTCAATGTCTAAGAGTGCAAGCAATGTCTCTACTTCAAACAGTCATGGTTATGGTACATTTGGATCTTTGATTCGTGGAAACAAGAGAATCGAGTGTTTTTGCCAAGATGAAAGTGTTCTTAGAACAGTGAATGATGTGAACAGTGTCAACAAGGGGAGAAAATTCTGGGGTTGTAAAAATTACATAAACCACATTAAAAAGGTTGTAATTTTTTCAAGTGGTTTGGTGATGAGTTTGTTGATGGAAAAAGATTTGAAGCTTGAAAGACAAAAGAAGAAAATTAACAAATTGAAGAATGAAGTTATCTACACTAGATGGTGGCTCAAAATGTCCATTGTTGTTGGGATTGTGACCTTAGGGTTGAACCTTGTGTTTGTAACAATGTATCTCAATTAGTTTTAGGGTAGTTCAAAGTTATGTTGTTATGTTAGTAGTTCTAGGGTTGAACCTTGTGTTTGTAGCAAATTGATGAGTTTGTTTAATGAATAATGTATTGTTATGTTGTTTCAATGAATAATGTATGTGTTATGTTTTCATATTTTCATTGAATAATGTCTCAATATCCAACCTGTAAAAAATGCAGCCCAATGATCAATATTTGTGGAAACAAACTGTAATATAACATGACATCATAAGCTATTCTAACATTCATTAACAGATTCAAAGTTTGATACATAACATGTTCAATAACAAAAGGCCATTATAAGGCATTACATAACAGGTTCAAAACCAAAGGATCATTATAAGGCATTACATAACAGGTTCAATTCCAAAATATGCATTAACAAAAACAAAAGAGTCAAACCATTAAATGGCATTACAAAATCTTAGTAGACATAATAATAAGATCATGGTTGGCTTGAAACAGACTTGCTAATCATATGAAGTTTTTTCTTAGTTTTGGATGGTGGCTGACTTGTAAGAACAGGTGGTGGTGGTTGACTTGTAAGAACAAGTGGTGGTGGTTGACTTGTAACAGCTTGTGATGGTGGCTGATTTGTTGCAATAGATGGTGGTGGTTGACTTATAACAGCTTGTGATGGTTTTTGACTTGTTGCATCTTGTACCTGACTTGAATCAGCTTGTGATTGTGGCTGACTTATTGGTTCTTGTGGTTGTGGTAGTTTACAAGTGGCCTTGTTGTGACCATCCTTGTGGAAACAACTACACTTTATACCATATTTTGACTTCTTCATGTGTGTCTCATCCCTCACCACCTCTCAAACTTCTCTATTCCTTTTTTTCTTTGGCCTTCCAGGATGCCTCTTTATTGGTGGTGGCTGAAGATCAACAACACTAGTCTTTGCCTACAAGGCTTCCCCGTTAAGTGGATATATCACATGTGCACATCAAGCATCATATTGTTCCTTCTTGTAACAGTCAGGTACAAAGTCATCAATCTCCAAATGTTGATCTCGCATCCATAGTCTACACAAACATTCTTTCTTGTAAAGGTTGACATCATATTTTTCTCCATTTAGTGAAGTAAGACTCACCTCATAGTCATATTCACTTGCACACCTGTAAACAAGTAACCATTTTAGTGTTAGTCTATGTAAACAGTTATCCATTTGAAAGTAATGTTCAACAAATCAACCATGTTACCTCACAATCTAATGATTGGTTTTATGTGACTCTTTTTCCATCATCTTCTTGATGTTAGGTAGTATGATGCCATCGTATTTGGTAATCTTTTTCTTATTCGATTCTCATCTCTGCATTAGGTATACCCTAATTTCTTCTAACATTGTCACAATGGGATTGGATCTAGCAGCTACAAATAGAGAATTGAAGGTCTCTGACATATTTTAACCAAAGTGTCACAACCTGAACTTGGCTGGAACCTTGATTTGCTCCAAAATCTCGATGGAATTTTGATGAGGTGTTTGAAGGCCTCTTCATTAACTCTTTTGATTTCAATCATTATTTTCTCTCAAGCATTAACATAACTTGTGCATGCAGCCTTCCACATAATTCCTTTAATTTCAGGTCAGAGAACTTTTTCCTGAAGTTACTAAGCAAATGTCTGCAATATAAAGTAAGTGTAAACCAACTAGGTCAGCCAAGTATGTCAGAAGAACTAAGTATGTCATATTCAACATGTAAGTAAACATAATACCTAACACATAATCTCTGGTCAACATTACCAAGTAATTCATCAAGAGCTGGCAATAAACCCTGCATCCATAAATAAGTAAGAATGATGGTGAAAATAAAACAATTGGCTAATAGTTAAATTTCAAGGTGAGAGTTTAAAACCTTTTGTTGATCACTAATGAAGGTATAGGTTCTGCACAACCTGACTTCTCCCATATCAGGTATCAATAACTCTAGAAACTAGGTGCATAATTCTTTAGTTTCACTCTCAACAACAACATATGCAATTGGAAGCATTTGGTCATTTGGGTCCCTACCAATAGCAGCTAGTATTTGTCCTCCATAATATCCCTTTAAGAAACAACCATCTAATCCTATAATAGGTCTGCATTTGAAAAAACTCTCCTTGCAAACTTTGATATATACATGCATCCTCTAAAAGTGAGGATTCAATTGAGTAGAGTTTTCACTACTTTCCTCTTGTACTGGTGGATGACTTATAATTTTCACAGTTGATCCTGGGTTTGCCCTCAAGAGTTCATGGTCATAATCATAGATTCTTCTATACCGCTCTCTAAAAGAACCATCCACCATATCAACAGCTAGTGTTTTAGCTATATGCTAATGTCTTGTTAATCCCAACATTCCACTTTTCATGTGTCTTCTCCATAATATCAGTCAACTTCAAAGTTGGATTCTCTCTAACACTTGCTTGAATCTTCCTTCCCAACCATTTTTAATTGAGGAACCTAATATTATAATCCTTACTACATGTATACTTGTCCATGATTGTCCTCAATTTCCAAGTCTCCTCACCTTTTATGTTTGCACAATAAGCCTCTCATGGGCAACCTGCCTTACATTTAACTCTCATTCTTGCCTTATCATTTTTTGTAAATTTAAATTTCCTTCCTGAATGAATGGCATATGTTCTTATTTCCTCTTTAAACACCCATTTGTAGAAAAATATGTACAAAGTTCCCATTTGTAGTCTTCCATTCTTTTTGGAAGCATAAAGGTTACAAAATCATCCTTTACAACCTTATCATTTTCAATGCCATACTCAGTAGGAATTTTATCACTGTTATACTCCTCAGTGTCGCTTAAACCTATGAAATTGTCTAGATTTACCTCACCATCATTATCAGCACCTGCATCCCTAACGATGACCTTTCCCTTTCTCTTTCCCTTTACCTTTCCCCTTCCCTTTCCCATTACCTTTCCCCTTACCTTTCCCATTGTCTTTTTCCTTCTCCTTACTTGTTGCATTTCATCCTCATCAATTTCTATCTCTCCACAAATACCTATATCATTCTCTAAGTCTTCAAAATTAACATTCAAAGCACTGTCGTCACTTCCATCTTCTTGGTTACAGTTAACCACCTCATCTTGTTCTTGGTTACAGTTTAGTCTTTTCATTAATTTCATCTCCTCCAACATTCATCCCTACATCCACATTCTTATCCATTTCACAGGTGGTCCCCACATCATCCATATTGTTACAGTTTGTCTCATCTTGACCCACATTCTCCTCAGTTTCACAGTTGGTTCCCACATGACCCACATTTTCCTCAATTCCAACATTCTCTTCAATCCCAACATTCTCCTCAACTTCATCAACTTTTGTCCCCTCTTCCACCACATCTTCACCTAGTGTGGTCCCACCTTCATTACTTCCCCCTTCATATACTTCACCAACCACATCTTCAGCTACTGTGGTCCCATCCTAATTATTAACCATATCAAGTCATTCACCATATATATTTTCACCCAATATGCTCACATCTGGTAGTGACAATATGGGTTCCTCAATAACATCAGGTTCAGATACAGGATGTGTAACATACAAGTGGCATTCCCCAGTTAACAATGCAATTGTTCTCACCCTATCATTCCTCTTATCATTTTCTAACTGAACTATATCATTAGCAATCATGTCAACTGAACTATAGTAGGGTAACCTAACTTTCTTAACTTGTCCAATATTTCAAAGTAACTCCAATAATCAGGATCAACATCTCATATCTCCTCTAACCCTACATAACCTGACTTGGTAAAATTTGCAAACTTCCTAGAAAATCCACCAGAATGATGAACATCACACTTAGATCTACTCTTCACGACCTTGTCAACCTACATATGGTATCAGAAGTACTAAGTAAGTTAGGTATAGAAGAAAGTTAACATTTTTTTAATCGTATTTGTACAAGTTCGCACCTTAGGTTTTTTTTTCCTGGAGACGAATGAAATAATGAAGTTCTTCTTCGTTCTTCTTCAATGGAGGGTTATTGTCGTAAACGTCGTTATTGTCGTCTTCAAACAAGTGTTGTGGTTAAGGGTTCTGTTTTTTTTTTGTTGAAATTTCCTGAGGGTTGAAGGCGGAAGACCTCTCAGGGATGAAGTTATGAAGGATCATTTATAGAATAATGGGAAGGATTGAAATGGAATTTTGTTGGTTCAGAGAATCTTGTGATTTAATGATGTTGCGCCATCTCGATGCGGATCTCGTGGAGTCGCGTTTTGCATGGTGTAGGCTATTGTGAAACAGTATGCGTGAGTTATTTTTTCTGAAATCACGTCTTGGTCCGTATTGTGTGGGGTTATGCAGTGTGTGTTACATTGCTTTTGTGAAAGGAGGTAGTTGTAGGGAAACTATGACTGTGAGTTGTACGAATCATGGTGAGTGTATTTTGTGTGCGACTCAAGTTGTGGTGGTTGAGCTTAATTTCGTACGATACAGGTGAGTGTTAGCTTGTGATATTTTTGTTTGTTGATGCATGAAAAATGCATGCTTAATATTGTGAGTTTGTTTTATGTGGATGGCATGAAGGCTGGTTGAAAACGGCTGGTACGATGATTGAGGAAGCAGCTTTTGGAACGTAGCAAGCTGGTCATTTGTGTGTGGCTCACATGTGCGTGGAGTATATTTGTTGTTCTGTAGGTTTTTTTATTTGGCTTGCAATTCAATTTGTCCTATAGATTGGATCCATGACATAAAAACAATGGGTTTGTGATAAAAATCTTCATGTTGCAATTGTAATGATCTTGTGCCTTTTTTTTTATAATTGGACTCTTTCTTTTTAATCAATGTAAATGGGCTTGTGCGTCATGAGTTTTTTTTTAGTTTGAGAAAACAACGTCATGGGCCTATGATTTTTGAAATTTATTTGTAATATACTTTGTTTCTTTTTTTTTGTGATGGATGATCCAAAGACTTGGATGATTTTGCACCTTCTATTGTTCCAACTTTAATTGCACTTTGAAATCCATCTTGAACCATGCTTGAAATATCTTAGTCA